ATTACTTGATTTATTGACGCTACCTACCACACGCACTGCGCTCCACAGCTTTTTCGTCTGTTTATCTCTTTGTTTTGTTGCCAACGTCAAATCGGTATCATTTTCAATGAAATATTGCTTCGGTTAAGTGCTTTACACAACCTTGTGGCAGCAGTACACCATTGTAATAGTCTAAGTTCGTCCTTCGACACGTCTTACCACACAAAAAATAGAATAGACTTTTTTGGTGGAAAGGCATTTTCCTAAAAGACATTCTTTTTAAAGTGTACAATACGAATTCATACATAAACAAGAAAAGCGTACCAGAAATAGCATACGAAAATAAAACAAAATAATTCAAACGTATTCAGCTATTGCGTAAAATAAATACAAAGCAGATAATCAAAATTTGAAATAAAAAGTGGATCTAATCTTGAGTCAATTTCATTGGTCCAATCAATATCTGTTGGAAAGAATTAAACCCGGATCGGCCTTTAAATGTAAAATTTTATCATTTATCTATAGAAATTGCTGATAATCAAAACATTTACAGTCACTCCATTTTTGATTTAGTTCTACTTTAATCGTTATTTGTGAAATCAGTAAATTCAAGTGCTTCAACCATTCCTCAATTTATATCTACAAATAACTTTAAACTGCAACGATCACCATTTTGGGTTTGTCCAAATTTTTAACGTTATGTCGTCTTATCATATATAAAAAACTTCATTAACGATGATCCTCAGAACTCCTCAGAAACGTTATCATTTCCTATCCCTTTTTATTATGACAGATGGTGGTGGATGAAAGTTGTAGTAATTGGGTGACTATATTATAGTAGATTTGGTTATCTGCTACTGTCCGGTTATGGTTGGTGGGCAATGGTGATGTTTTGTAGTAAAGAAATGTCAATATGCAGAGTGGAGATGAAAAGATGGTGTCGTTTCCTTTTTTGGTTGGTCGTAGGGGCGGCGGTGGCAAATCGGTCCAAGGGGGCTTTGTCAACAGACGGGGGCGTCGGAGGCGGCGGTGGTGGCGCGGGCGTCGTGGCGGAACAGATATATAGTCGGATGCGCCATCGCGGCTTCGGATCGATACCATGGAGCAGATGCTCACCACGCCCCTGGGATGCTGTTCACCTATCCTGTCACCAGTGCATGGGCCCTCGTAATTAATGGGTCCGCGGTCTGCACTGAAACGATAATTCCACGTTAATGGGCGCACCGAGCGAGCGAGACAGATACAATGTTTCAGAGAAAATGTGCGAGTTAGAGGGAGGATGAGAGAGAGGAAGAGAGAAATATAGAGATACAGAGGAGCGCCCCCGTGCGCCCACCTAGTGCCCGGCCGTACGCATCCTATCCTCTCTGAATTTATACGTCGTCCGCCGTTAATCCCGGCGGCCCATAAACGTGCATCATATTGATATATTTAATTTGGAATCAATTAATAACGCGATGATTAAAACGCCAAACTCCCCAATCAATTCAACCGACTGCTCCCAAAAACCATCCGAATTACCGTTTCTTCCAACGTGCTCGACCGCCTTTCACCTCGACGATTACATACATAATTATATAATATTATTATTTTTTTTTAAATATTAAAGCATTAGCCGCGCGTTTAGCAGCGAAAGCCTGGATCCATTTCCGGTCCCACATCCGAACGGCACACCGTTTCCTTCTTAACCCAACAACCGATCCCGAGCCCCGATAACGGAAACCCTATCACCTGTATAATCTCGCAGCAATTTAGAGATAATATATAATAAAACGCAGCCTGCTTCCATGACAAATAACGTCTCACATATCATCCGCGTAATGACGCGTTTAACCCACCGAGAAGGCAATAAAAAAAATAGATATATACTTAAAGTATACAATGGGGTTTAAATCGAAATACAATTTTCAACGAAAATATAAAAACTTAGGTATACAACCTTTTAGATAGACTTTATAGTCTACAAATGTTGTAATAAAATAATAATACAGAGTTTTCACTTAAATGCATTATCATTGTTATTAGTAAACACATTTCAGTTCTGTCGTAGTTGCACATGTACCTTCATAATAAATTACACACGATTCGCTGGTATCAATGGTAGTTATTTTGCCGTGGCCTGGATTCTAACCATGAGCCACACGACAATCACCTATTTTACCAACGAACCGTGTAAAAGCATATTCAACAATACTTGTTGTCGTTTATTCCACCGCTTCGTATTTTTATCAAATAAAAGGACATTAACATAAACAGAGTATAATGTATAATGACTTTGTTGCTAAGTTGGAATCAAGATTGGTAAATCGATAATAATAAGTATTCTCGGGCGAAGTGTATATGTGTGTGTTTGAGCAATTTGCGAGGAACACTTGAAAACAAGTCGAGTGGGCTGGATGTTTGCTTTTCGTGGACCCATTTAAGGTATGATAAATGGAGTAGTAAATAAGCCCAGCATAGTCGGAGTGTATCGATTAACGATAAAAACACGTTGTGTAAGCATGTGTATAACACCACTTGACTACTATTTCCGTTTCGAATATTCATCAGTGGAGACCCGCAGGTTCACCTGCCGACCAATTTGTAAAATAATACGGAGCACTCCTTCGGTCTTCGGTTCGACTCTTCCTTTTGTGATTTCCACTAATTGCCTCCATCTTCAGTCTCCACCACGAATGCAAGAAAGATACCGGAGAAATTCTCCTCAGTTAGCTAGCAAGCAAGCAATGCAGGCGAGCAGATAAATAAAAAGGAATGCTTAACACCTTTCGAGCGTTTCTGTTATGATGTAGGGAGATAATTCCGTGGGTAATTTATGGTTATTCGGGCTCTCCGCTTGCCAGTGTGATGTCCCTATAACTACACGATTATTGCCCATTCCAAATTCTTCCACATCCATTTTATCTTTTTTATGTTCGCTCCGTGTCCCCGTGGCCCGTGTGTTTGCTTAAAATTTAAATAAATTACGAATATAAGACATTTTATTATGATTGCACTTAATAATGCATCCAGCTAAATAAATTTTCCTCTGCCGTTCTCTCGTTCGCAGACTGATTAATTAATGCCCGCAGCAACGATAAACCAGTAAACAAACGACTAATTATTTAGTCGAGCTGAAATCCGGCTATAAATCGCAGATTAATCAATAAGTCCCATTGAGTGCGGGGACTCGTTTCCAGGAAGATTCGATTCAATCTGAATGCGCTCTGAACGCAATGAGCAACATCTGGTATAGAAATATAAATATAGTGATAAAACAGTCGATTAAATGTCGATCGTAAAATCGGAATTTATTGTTGAATTGACCGCTGCGCTCCTTCTTCACTCGTCGCTTGTTAATTTGTTGCAAAAAAAAGTAAATAAATCCTTGCTCGTTAATTGAATGCGGTATGCGAAGACGCGATGATATTAACAACAATCGCAAATGGGCATTGATGCAATTGCGGTCCGCAGGGTTTTGAGCATGATCCTGACGTGGGACGTGCCAACACTTGAGTTTCATTAAGGCAGAGAGCTTTTGCTATGCTTTTTATTCCGTATATCAGAAGGAGTTTATTAATATCGTCTTATCAACGACGGCCGAAGGAAAGAAGTCATGGAACGGGGTTAAAGTCAATCATCGAGTGGTCGCTATGTTGGTCTGTGTTATAGTGGTTGAAGTAGTTAATTACAAAGCAATCATTAATATATGTGGTCCCAGCTGACACGCAGCTGCCTGTCAACTTATGAGTGCCCTTCATAAAACAAAGAGAGGAAATTATGATAAATATCTACTTATATTATAATTTTTATTTACATTCTCATATTACCTCGCATGTGGATTTTAAATGTGTACAAATTTCACTCGGCTGCACATTTTTATTCACTTTCCTGATTTTATTTCATTGTCATTTTTATGAAGCTCTTGTTGTTTTCGAATTTAAAGAATATTGTTATCAATGCTTCATTTCTATTATCAATTTTATCATTCAACACAATTATGATTTTTAACGCGAGTGGCAATAAACCAGAAATTAAATACAACATTCAAAATTCATTGTTTTCGAATATAAAGGATCCATAATTATTAAAGTAAACTAATTAATTTCAATTCATATTTTAGCATAAACTGTATGAATTATTTAAATAATGTATTGTTAATGAATTTAACCACGTGTTGCGGACATGAAAAATCACTTAGCTGTTTGTTCCAAAATTTTTGAATAATGTAAAGCGTCGTTGATTGATCGAAGTGGTCCACAAAAATTAATAAGAAAAAAAACAAACTCTGAAAGGTTTTAATTACGAACAATCAATTTCGTTGTTGCCGCTTCACGGAAACTGGACCGCTAATTAGATTTTAATGTTGGCACGCATTATGTTTATGTATAATAATGATGAAGAGCGGACCGGAAGTACGGAGGACTTGGGTCCGGCTGGAAGGTATCGTGATTAGCGATGCAAGCTCATTTTTATATAAAAAGTGCCGAGTAATAGAAAGCCATTTATGTTCTGTATTAAAACATATAATATTTCGTGCACGATGAATTAAACATGCGTTCATAATTAATTTATGAAAAGAGCAGTTAATGATTCCGCAAAGGTAAAGGAAAAAGATGGAATATCGAAGAAGAAAAAGAAAGAGATGCGATAGCATTTGGTCGATGGGCGATCAGAGATAATTCCATGTCAAAAGGAATTGGACGTGTTCACGGGGCTTTATTATGTGTTCGGATAATATTAATCCATTTTTTGTCTATTTTTTCCCTCTGCGTTCGCGCCGCGCACGATTAGAGAGGCCTATAATTTTTTACACCTTTCCGCACGCAAACTGTAAACACGTACATACACACACTCACACGTACACGGGTTTGGACGTGAGATCGACAGCTCTTCCACGTCTACGGAAACCCTAATAACAGGTTGTCGTTGACTTGACTGCAGGTAATTTGGCCATTTTAACACCGAGCCAAATTTATATTTCTTCCATCGCCTTCAACGCATTACACCTTAATATAACTATGTTCGTGTTCTGATTGCAGGCGGATGTTTCCGACATTGAGGGTATCTTTCACTGGGATCAGGCCGGATCAGAGGTACGCCGTGCTCTTGGACATCGTACCAGTGGATAACAAGAGGTACAGATACGCGTACCACAGATCCTCATGGTTGGTAGCAGGAAAGGCCGATCCGCCTGCACCCAGCAGGATGTACGCTCATCCAGATTCCCCGTACTCCGGGGAGCAGCTCAGGAAGCAAGTGGTCTCCTTCGAGAAGGTCAAGTTGACCAACAACGAGATGGATAAAAATGGACAGGTGAGTGTTATTATTTAACGCACGCTGCGAGGGGATATGAAACGGACCTCTCGCGTGGTCACTGGAAGGAAGGAATGTCGTTGTGAGACGCAGTTACAAATTGTCCCAGTTGGGACCACCAACGCCCACTTAAAAACGTATTCCCATCTCATTCTAAATATACATTCTTTGCGTACAAGTAGCCTTTATTGCTTCAACCATAAGAAAAAAAATGAAAACAAAACGATATCCGCAAAAAAAAACAATAATAATATCAATGCCAATGCAATACGCTGAACCCAAAGTTCATATATTTCCAGTCTCAAAACTCCAACATACATCCCACTAAGATCCGCGATAAGAGTAATATACTTTTTTTCTCGCAGCTCGAAACAAACTAAATAAAGTCACTAATTACGGAGTATGCTAATGCACGAGCCATCGTTAATTTAATTCCGTACGAGAATTATTCTAATTCGCACGTAATTAAATTTCACTTCATATTAAACGGCGCACCGGATTCCTAAAGTAATGAGGATCCGAAGGCATATCATCATCATTCCTCCGTTACTTGTTGGCGCGCACCTTAGATCAGCGTTCGCTTCCACACTGGAAGATAAATAACGATATGCCATCAGGACTGTAAAATATTGTGCTCGGTTGAAAGATTATTTAGGTATTGGCCCAATTGTTATTAAAATCTTTTGAGGGACTCGTTGAAATCGCGGGCAGCTTGTGTACGCGATAAAAATAAAATTGAAAGGAGAGGACGGCAGCAAAAAGCGGGTGGATTGAGCCAAAGCAGACACTTCAAATGTAAATTTCCAAAGGCAACAGCTCGAAGGAGAGTGAAAAATTAAAGCGATATAAAGGAACGTACAGACTAACTCTGGAATCCTGAAAACAATTCTAAAATTATTTTATGAAAATCTGTTATCAAAATTTTACAAATCGTTCGTCTTTCATGTATCTTTTTTATTGTTAATACGAGATGAGGAGAATATTATAAAAAGTGTATAATAATATATTTAAATATATAATAACCAAGTGTTGATGGTGGAAGAACAAGTAACTGCATCCGGTTCGTTCGTCTGTAGAACAGGTATATTTTGTAAAAAGATACGAATACATTCTGCGAAAATGTTGGACTCAAAATATTTCATAATATTTGATTGAATATTTTTGTATATTAACATTTGACACATGTTAATATAACAAAAGCGGAAGATATATTGGTTCGCCTCGGGGCGCCATTAATACAAATTAATTTAAATCGGCCATCGATCAAAGCGACCAAATTGATTATGGTTAATTTTCTCCTTTCTAATTAATATTTGGTCTTTAATGGATTCACGCTTTTTTATTATTATTTTTTTGCTCTCACTCTCTCCAATTCGCAGAAAGATTTCACGTTTGTTGAACATCGAGCGAGATTGTTTTACGTTTTCTTCTCGCATGCTAATCGGACCCACGAAAAAATAATATAATAATAATACAATAAATCATTTTTAAGTGAAACCTTTCCCGCCAGGGCAAGGTAATTGGACGGCCCGGGAATATTATATAATTATGAGAAACTTAATTACTTAATAGTAATACATAGGACTGATGGAAATAGATTGGCCCCAAAAAGAGCTAGCAGTTCATCTAATGGACTAATTAGTTGGCAACCACCTAGAAACGTAAATTAGATAATTTAAAACAAAGCAACAACAACAGCAACGACCACCTTTAATTATACTATAATAAATAAGATCGTAGTTTCTTTGAATTATATTTTAATGAAATTAAACATCTAATGGAATATTGAGTTAAAGGATAACGGTTAATATAAATTTAAAAATAAATAATTAATGTTAAAAGTCACTAAACACGTATATTGCTAATAAATGTCGTTATATAATGAGAATACAGTTTGAATGATAGTCGTGTGTTGGATAAAACACGTTATTGTAAAACAATAACTAGCTTATTACGGAACGCAATTGCATTGAAAGCAATGATTGGAATTGGATTTCATAAAATGTGAACAATTGAAAGTAATTGTTGAGGATAATAAAGTGAATTTCAAGTAAGCAGTTGAAGCAGTTAATTTTGGAATTTGTATGTATTGAGTAATTTGATGAGTAGAAGTTGTGCCGTCGTTGAGTGAAAACTTTGTATTGAAATACTCTTGGCGGAGGAAGAGGAGGAGAAGGATAGAATGAGCGGAGATGTGAATGGAAATTGGTGAGGAGCGTAAGAAAGGCGTAAATTATTCAAGGTATCAGGCCTGACATTTGGGTATTAATCAAAGAATGGAAAATAAGTTAGAGGGAGCGAGGTGGTGGAGGAGGAGGAGAGAAGACTCGAGTGAAAAGAAAAAGGAGAGTGTCATGCATATTAAAATCAGGAGTTATGATTATGTGACAAAGTAAAAGTATCTCTCGTCGCAGCTGCGCTAATCCCTTGCTGTGAGAGTTCAGTCAGAGAGAAGACCTTAACACCATGACCACATACTAACAGAATATGACCATTCCAAACTGATAGCATCACCCAATCAGGTGGTGGTTGGTGGCGTCCCTCTTCTTTGGCGACGTTTCATTTTATTTCACGAAAAAAGCATAAAAGAGAGAACGTACTACCTCCACGGTGCCCAGCAGGACGTCCTGGCGACAACAAATTTCTCACCTACAGCTTAACAAGACAACCATATATTTATATCGCCTCGGATGTTATATATTAATAATTTACGGGGAAGGAACACACGCTCCTCCGAAACTGAGCGAGTCACGTCCTCCTTGTTCTTTCCTATTATGCAAATTGCGCGCGAAAGGGCGACAGAACGCAGCGATAATTCATTTGTATTACAATTACCGAAGACTAAGGGCACTTAAAAATGTTAATCAATCATCGTGTCGAGCGTCTAACGCTGACGTGGCAACAACGTGCGCCGCGCACGAAACGAAAATTATTTTCGTGCTTTATTTGTATAATAACTTTTAACATTTCAACCCGAAAACAGCTTTGCGAGTCGTGTAGAGAAAAAAATCTTGCTTACAATCTGGCCGATCATTAATCACAAAAGAGGGTATGCAAATTAATTGACTCTAATTAAATAACGCATCGGAGAAGCGGGAGGAAAGCGGCCGGTCGAAAGTTGGATATTTATTGTTCGGGAATTTCAGCAATTATACATTCTCGCATATTTATACCGCATCTGTCCCGTAATTTACGTCCGTTTATCCACTCGACTTAAATTATTGTCAATACTTTTCGTATTTGTTTACACAGGTTTCGTTCTCTGTTCGGCAAATTGAAAAACAAACTTAAATGAATTATACGTTTGCTCGCTTACGTGCGAATTAAAATTCCTACTTTCTAAGCAACATACGAAGCTAATAAATACGTTCAAGATTACAAAACACGGTGAAATCTTTCATCAATACAATACATTTATTTTTATAAAGTAGAATTCAAATGATGCAAAGTTTTATTAATACTTAACAAGTATTCTAAAAAGCATATGATAATTTTGGGAACTACGCGAATATCGTTACAACAATTTTACACATGTCTTTAAAATTCGAGACAACCAACGAAAAATATATGAACATAAATGGTGTTCACTAATTTATTGGATATAATTATAAGGAAGGCACATATCATTGGGGTATTTTAAATTAATTTGTGTAATGGGAAAACCGGAATAGCCATTACAATGGCGACTCGATTTTTAGGTGTCATAATTCTTCCGTGGTCATTACCGTAATTTAGATGTAACGTGGGTGTGCTACGCGCATAATACAGACATCCGAAAAAAAAATCATAACCTTTTTTTGACTGACCCCCCGCCAACCCCGTTTCGTGGCAGCGCAGAAGGGGCACGGCCCCCCATTCCAGAGATTTATACGCACACCGAGCGAAGAAATTAATTTAGAATAATTTACACGGAATAAAACGTTATTTACTACGAAATTCATTCGCACCTCTCTGCCTCGACTCCTTCTTCTTCTTCTTGTTGCCTTTGGTCTTCTTCTTCATCTCCTCCGAGGCGTCGCGCGGTTATTATAACTCTTCTTTTTCCACTGCTTTAATGGTCAAACTCGTTTATGGTTTCTGAATGGAGCTGTGGGTTTTATAAATAAATTTATATGTATATACATATGCGACTGTGTGTGTATCTGTACGTGTGTTCCTCTCACTCTTGGAATATTGAATTGAATATTTTCTTTTGGAAATAAATAGCCAGATTAAGTCTAGCGTTTATGGCGAGAATACCCGTTCCACGTGTGTGCGTATATATATCTACAGTCCTTTGAAATCGCTGTCAGAGCCTATAGATTCCATTGATTATGGTTCCCCATCGGCTTTCTGTGTATTTTACTCGACGCCTCTCAATAATAACCGGTATTTACGATATCCGTTTTCTAAATATTTACAATTAAAAATAGTGTGTGTAATTGATTGCGGCCGTCCGTCCCCCACCGACAAATGACTCTAATTATGCCGACCCCTCGACACGTGAACACAGAGCAACACGAAAAATATTTACATGAAAATGAATTTTTCGCTTCCATCCCTCTCGCTCGTTGTATGAACAAACGAAATAATGCCTGTATTTTTTTATACCCTTTTCCTTCATTCTACTTTTTTGTTTTCCATTTTCGCTCGTTATGGCTAATTAATAGGTATTAGATAATAATTTATGATACGGCGCATAGAATATGGGAGATATTAATGGCCTAAGGACGTATAAATCTTGCGTGAAATATGTTCGTAACGCAATGAAATACAATAGTGGCACATGTTTAGGTCCTAATTTGTGAGTTTGTTTAATGCCTCAGATCGGGAATGCGATTATGGAGTCATGGAGCGCTAGTCCCAAGTACCATAACTCAACGCTGACGCATGGAATTAGTCAACGTACTTAATATCAACGGTTTAAACAGCTACATGTCACATACCCCCGATGCTTTCTCCTCCATATCAATAATAAATAATAAATTTTATTCCTCCCGTACGCATTACGATCCATAGACAAACAAAACAACAACAAAAACACTACCGAAAAGAACAAAACAATTTGTAATCTTACACATTCGACGCTATCTAAATAGGATGAACCTGTTTCTTAGTTTTTATGTATTCATCAACACTTCCTACACACATTCTTCTTATAAATTTAATACTAAAAACCATTTATTGGTAACAGTAACACGATAATATTACTTTAAAATAATATATCTTATTTCCCCCCATATAACACTGATTAAATTGAAGTTCTTGTTAGTTAAAAAAATAATTATATAATTATTTTTGCTTAAATTTTCCAAATTAAATTTAATCGTGATCCAAGAAAATAGTAATGATCTTCATTAGGAAAAGCGTTGCGTGACCCGCTAATGAGTCGCAACACTCGAACATGTTTTTAATAGAAGCAAAACATGCGCAAAGGTCAAAAGATTTGCATTTGTTTTTCAAATACTCAAGCGATTAATACATTGAATGTCAACTCATTTTTTGTGAGTAGTGTTTTGGAGCCCTTATAATTATTTTAAACATCGCTAATTTTGTGTTTCGGAGTGATGAAGCGGAATGATACTACTCGAAACGGGTTTAAATTTGAGATGAGAAAGAGCAAAATGGAAAAGACTTCAACGACGGAGTGAGGTAATTATTATAATACGGGTTCATTTGCGTCGCCGTGAAAAATGACTTATTAAGTCCGAAGGTCTGTGGCGGATGTAATAATTGTAATTTACATTTTCGTTGTGGGGCTAAAGCACGAATTTTTCGTGAAAATGAAAAAATAAACGATATTTAACAGAAGGGTAAATTATGAGTAAAAAGTGGTTTTGAGTTGTGAGTGCGTATAAATTGCAAGTAGGCAGGAATTGGGGATGCGATTATCGAGTTTCTATAATATGAAGCTGTTTGTAAATTGATATGTTGGCAGTCGCATGCTTTGGTGCTGGGCGACTGGGAAGGATGTATGCGGCACAAGCTGTAGCGGTTATCAACAGCAAATCGGAGATCGATTCCTCCTGGCGTGTTATGTTTGTGGCTGGCTGTTGCTGCCGCCGGTTGCTATTGTTACCTCTAGGCATGCCCTTTCGAGGCTGTTATTTTTCGGGGAAAACGCAATAGCGGAGAAGAGATAGTACAGTATATAACCCCTATGCCGTGTATGCGCTTGCGTTTACCGATGCGGAACGCACACACATAGCAAACTCTCCCCAGTAACGTTGCCTGGCAACCTGCTCGTAACTCCTGGTGGCTTAATGATTGGCGGCCCGACGACTTACAATGGCTGCCATCGGAGCACGCGATATGTGTTGATCATCTTAGTGTATTGTAGATCAAAGACTAATCGGAATCTATGTTTTGTTTCGTTTTCAGATTGTCCTCAACTCCATGCACCGCTACCAGCCCAGAATTCACCTGATCAAATGGCGCGATCACAGTGGACCAGTCACCGATCTTGAACAGGAGCAGTACCGCACTTACATCTTCCCAGAAACCGTATTCACTGCGGTCACAGCCTACCAGAACCAACTCATCACCAAGTTGAAAATCGACTCGAATCCTTTCGCGAAAGGCTTCAGAGACTCGTCCCGACTAACCGATTTCGAAAGGTAATTATTTTAGTAACATATACCGCAACAAGAAAATGAATACAAAAAAAAGCAAGGCAACAATTATAAAAATATGAGATTGAGAGAGTGAGGAATATACTTCGAGTTTACGAGCGACCATAAAGCAGCACGGTAGCCACATCACCTTTAAAAGACATCTGTCCAGCCGCATCTAGATGAGTTCCTTTCTTTTTTTGCCCTCACAAATAATCAACTCGAGGTGTTACAGGCAACATCCCATTCCCGTATTTTCTGCTCGGGCTCTTTTTTTCCTTCTTTTCTCGTTTCGTTGCCTCTTACTACTAAATTATACGAGCTGCGGCGCCGCTGCCCTGTAATTATATTGACAGGCCGCGCGGATCACGCAACTGTTAGAAGTCTTCTAATGGGGCATAATTTTGGACGGGGGAAAGTTATCGCCCATCCATACATCATCTCCGATCTGTTTACAAACAAACATCTCAAGCTAATAATCGAAATGCAATTAATAATGATCCGCGGCAACCGGCTTCCGAAACTTCGCCGTGTTTTCTTTTTATTTATTTTTAAATTTCTGTATAATAATAATGATAACACGAACCCGTCCGTCCATTCGAATTTATATATTTATGCGAAACGTCTGGCGGAGTGAAACTTTAATTTGACCACCTTTAATTAACATATCTAATGCCTGCCACGAAAGAGAAAAGGGTTTTGAGGCGCAATGTTGATTTTTGCATACATTTCATGAAGATTGAAAATGCGAAACGATCGCAATGATGGATGGAATTTTAGGTGCGGTCATATATAAGAAATGCACGGTCATATTGAGGCGAGATTAGGAGGAAGTTTATTTGATGGGTCTGTGAGATATGGCCGTGTGGGTAGAGGAGTATCGATTCGCTGAAGGAGTGAGTGCGGAGCGTATGGTGGTACTACGGGAAAGTGTTGGAATTACATTAGATAATGGTATTGCGTTACGTGCAGCGGTTCCGTAATGTCTGTTGCATGCGGTGGCAAAATGGCTGCTGCTGCCATCCATATATATGTATACATGCATACATTGCTTGCTCGTCGACGATGGGCTTCGTCCTTTTCGGCAGCGGCGGCAGCGACACAGGCTTTAATTGGAGCTCGAATGGCAGGGCAGGCAGGCTAAACGGTGAAAGTGATAAGTAATAATTCATCGGGCGGGTCACCGCAAAAGGCGAGAGAGGAAGAAGACGCGCTGCGCACACCGGATCCGACCGATCGTTCTACCGCCCCCGCCGCGTCACCACCACCCCCCTTCAACCCAGTGTTAGAATTTAATTTACGTGTTCGCGACTGTGCGCACCGCTGACTGGGCGGAGAAACTGGGAGCCGCTCTGTAATTTCAGACAATCGTTGTCTTCACGACGATGCCTTGATGATATAATGAACCCGACATATTTTCTCACACCTCAGGTAGAAGATGCGAGGAGGAGGCGAGGTGTTTTCCCAGTTATTTTCACGTTTCGGGTTTTTATGTCCGTCTGTAATTAGGGCGGCGGTGGTCAGCCAGCGACCCCTGGCGGAGCGCCCCGGGCCGAAGGGGGCGGGGTTCCCTTTCCCAGGGTCTCTCATTATCAGCTCACCGCGCGATCGCTCCATCTCAATATTATTGATTGTTACCCGCGTGCGCTCCGCCCGATCTTTCCCTTTCCGAACCGAGAACGCGCCCACCAACCCCTCGCCCTTCACCCCCATCGGCGAACCGATCGCGCGCCAATGATTTGTGTGAAAACGGAGGCGACAAAACTCAATCGCCTGTTTCAAGGAAAACGTTGGGAAGGGAAGAGATGAGAAGAGAAGCCCCGGGGCACAAGAACGGCGCTCTTTTAAGAGCTGCCTATTTTCGAGACCGGCTACTACCAGTAATTATCCTAAACTGCCCCCGGGCCGTCGAGCGGACCCTTTGTCATGGAAATTATACCGCCGCATTACGTGGTGGCGATGCTAATGTTGGTGGTGACACACTCTCATCTCCTGTAGCCTTTATCTCCCATTCATTATTTTTTTTTTTAATAAGAATATGTGAAGAATATGCTTACTGGAATTCTTATTCATTTTGTTAATGTATTATTGTAGGATATTCTTGGTAATTGACAAATTTTTGACTATAACTCTTCAATACTCATTTTATTTATTTAGTAATTTTGCTGACATTTCTAATTTATCTTTAACGTTAATTTTATGGTGCATTTTTCATTTATATCTATGATGGAGAGTTATACAGAAATTGCTTTTTTTGGATTATTACCAATAAAAATAATACACATATTGCATTTGGTTTGTTTAGTTTCTGTTTAATTTCAATCGCAGTTCGATACACCCATCATCGACGTGTCACTAATAAATTCAATGTTTTTGCTTTGTTACAGAGAACCAATGGATAGTTTATTTATGGATCAGCACTTCCTGCGCTCATCTCTGCGGCTGTACTCCGGCAACGAATCGCTCGACGCCGAAAACAACAACGCCGGTTCTTTATTCTCCGCAGCGATGATGGAGAAAGCACGGGCTCACATCCAGATGTGGGGAAGGGCAGCGGCAACCGGCGGCGGAGGTGGACACCCTTACAATCCCAGCGAGTTGCACGCTTTTCTCCTGAGCGGATCACCAACTCAACAAGTGTACCTGGGCCAGAGATCCGGTGTTCCTCTGGGTCTGCCAAGTCAACTGTGGAGTCAGGGATCGTCCTGGCAGTCACCGATGCACGGCGGTCTCCCGCCAGGTCTCTTGGGACCACCGGCTCCGCACCGCCACCAGATCACTCCCCCGCCGCCTCCGCCATCCTCGACACCAAGTTCCTCTGGCTCACCGAGCCCCACTTCCATTAACTCTTCCTCAGATCTTAGATTACCGAAAGCAATGTTCCCGTCGATGCATCGCTTCAGTCCGTACGGCTCGAGACCCAGCAACCCCTCAATCAGCCCCATCACGCGTTCTTCGCAATGATGGACAACCGATACGGACAGCAAGTGTTATTATCTGGGTGAAGCCAAATAAGTTAAAGCAAACCAAAGAATTAAATAAAGAGTCTTCTTAAAAGACCAAAATGTAATCGAGATAATGTAAATAGCAAGTTTATAGATAGAAAAAAAACTATAATTTATTAAATTAATTAGGAAACAAGAAGACAGAAAAAAATGGAAGAAAACAAGAAATATGAATCGTGTAGAATATAACTGGTTATTGTATTTATGTATGTGGTATATTTTGTACGAAGTATTAGAATTTTATGGCAGTATTACTCCATACTAGAAAAGCCTGTATATATTGAAAAAAAAAAACATTTATTGGATGATTTCTTTTTTGTAAACGAGTGTTTATTTCCCGTTCCTTTCTCCTACATTCGTCGAAGAAGAGTGCAGAACCCTATTAGTATATAAAATTGTAAATGACTTCAAATACTATTATATTATTTTATTTTTTACTTCCTCTGTTAATCCGATGCGACGCATCGCATTGCAATCGTTGTTATGTACATACTATTAATAATTAAAGAGAAAGATGTGGATAAATAATAAATATATATATAAAAAGCATTACACCGTTTGTACGATTCAATCTGATCCCGGCTATTATTTATTTTCCCCGGTCGAAATGTGATTTACACAGACGTTCCTCTTTTTATCCGCCCCATGAATATTTAATTAATTAATATTTAAAAACGCATTTGTTACAGATTAAAAGCGGGTAGCTCGAATCGATGGCAGAATTATGGAAATTTTATTCCAATGTTTGTGGTTTTGTTTGTTGTGTGTAGTGTATTCGCGTCGAACTGGATTCGAGAAGCGTTCTCAAATTGAATGCGTTCACTCCTCACTGCATTCATTCTTGTAATTCTCCGATTATTTAAATTCATATCGATTCAACATTCTTTATATTTTTTCTTTGCCGCTCAAAATAATTAATTAAATTTGTATAGAAGGTAAGAAAAACAAACAATTAAAAAAATACATTGGATTAAATGGATTACGCTCTGAAAATTAGATTAATAGTGGCGCGTATATAATAGATATTTTTTTCGAATTACAAGAATTTGCCTTTCTAAACAAGCGCAGAAAGAGACCTGATAATTAAGTAATCAATCTTCTTCGTGCCGGGAATAGAACGAACGGTAAGGTAATACAAGTTTGGTTTCGATATAATAGAGATTAATCCGTTTTCAATTGGTTTGTTCTCGGATTTTCAACAATGGAAAAAATAATAATGATGCGCTTTAACATGTCAACATCATTAAGAGCAAATATAATTAAAACACAGAAGGTATATTTCACTTACCATTCAAGAATGGAAGATGAAATCTGTTGGGCACAACCAGGCATGATTCCTGTGGGGACCTCCTGGTGGTTGGTAGCTCTACATGCGAAGTGGACACGCTCTTTCAATATAAAAAATATGCACGTAGAAAAATAAATATAAATAAATTATTGTAAATACCTTTATTTGAAAATATTATCGTTTATGTCATGTATTTATAAATAATTATGAGGACACTCATAGACACTTCGAATATAAAAGCAAAATGATCTCGGTTTTCGAACTGACATTCAGACACGTGAGATATACGGCGGAAGAGCTAAAATTACTCAATCATATCTCTTCCGTTCAGATAAAGTGAAGTTCAATTTTATCCATATATTGTATTTATTTAATGCAGTTTTAGCATTGTTGCAATTAATATTAATTATTTTATTACTTAATATATAACTGGTTTTCGAATAACTTTTAAGAAGAAATTATGTTCCAAAACCGTGGTTTAATGCAGAATTAAAATATTTATTTAAAAGTGACCTATTTCAAAGTCGGTTGTTTGTTTATTTCTGTGTAAATAATTGATACAATATTATGGGAATATTAATTAATGATTTTAAATAACGTTTTTTTAAAACTTTTATATATAAAAGTTTATGACTATATTTAAATAGAACAGCGGTTTGGTATAGTGATAATTATTATAAAAAACATGAATGACGGAGTTGTTGACAGAAGAACCTTTTAAGAACAATGCATATACGACGATTCAATTATAAATGAAAACTATTAACAGAAATGCAATTTTTGTGTATATAAGATAATTACATTAGCTTAAATAACAAACTTTATTCTAAAAATGGGATACATACAACGTATTAACAATATATTTATCATCAAACATCTGCACAAGTGATTAAATCTACAGGCTGCAACAGAAGCGTATGCACTTTAAATGCTTGCCGTATGCTTGATGTGCAATCTGATATTAATAGAAAGCAAATAATGAAAATAAATTTAATTTTCTGTCGATCAAGAATCAAATTCCAACATGGGTTTTTACATTATACTTGTGAATTAACTATATTTTACGATTGTTTAATAAACGTGTATAAGTTAATTGATTATTTTATTCAATTTGACTGAAAATAAAAGAAAATTAATTTAAGAATTTTTGTTTGTTATTGCAAACAATTCAAATTTAATTATAGTAAATATTTATAGAATTTAAGGCATTTCATTGCTACATATCATCAATACATATAAATTTCTTAAAAAGACTTGTACTTTTCGCCCTAGGAACTTTGGAATATGGTCAAATAATATTCCAAAATTGCTAGTGCGTAAAGTACAAGTTTTTTTTATTAAAGGCCATCGTTTCATCCAAATTACAGGACTATAAATACCTCTGATCATACATATAAATCTGTTAAATTTAACACTTATTGAGCTGTTCTAATAACAATATTTAGTGAGTGTGACAAAATTTAATTTTTGGTTAAAAAAATAATTGAAAGTCTTCTATTGACAACCTGAATTATTTGAAGATTTGCAAAATGTTTTGTCTAAAGAAACAAACTACGACTCTCCATAGAAATAAGCCAACAAATAATTGAACTTTAAAATCAGAATTCGAGAATACCACTTTAAAATCCAAATTTAAATCAAAATATCTTCTTAACTTTTCTTTTAAATGAGTTATTTGTGCAGTTCTAACTATTCATCTTTATTATAAATGTATTCATTGTTTAACATATGAACAAAAATATATGTTCTTTATCCACATTTTAAAGTAAAATCGACATCAAGATTACTTAATAAATTTCTTATATGAGGGTTACAAATTAGGTAAATGACCTTGTTAAAAATATGTTGGGAACCGCTGTATTAGATGATCATGCTGATGTTTTGTAACTTCATAAAAATTGTGTACATTTACTATTGAAATCAGACGTTTAATATTGCATGATGTGAGGCATATGGTTTGATCCTGGAACAACTTCTTTGAATTATGAAAAATATGTTGTAAAATCCAATGAGACTTTTTTCAATTAAAAATAAAATAAAGATGTTAAACATACATACGTCTAAATCAATTAATTAACTATTATTATAAAACTTATTATGAACATTCTAAAATAATTACGTAAATATACGTTAGTTACGACCTGCCGATCTTTTTTAGCTAAATCATTAATAACACAAGCGAACCAAATCCGTGGGTTGACATTAGGTTGAGAAATTAATGGAATTGCTTAATCACGAACTAAAAATAATTACTGCTATTCCATACTATTGTTTTTTAGTATACACCAATACCATCACATTGTTAATTGCAATTCAACAGTTACTTTATGATTATTTATTGCATACTATTATTTTTTCCGAATTCCTAATGAAAAAGAAAAAACGTTAATCCGATTAAGAAACATGTGCATAAACAGGCGTAAAGCTTGAACAGGTAAGGTAGTTATATATATGCCGTTTGCAATTTCAAAACTTTTTTTCAAGGACGCTAACGATTTGGATTGCGTGATTTTGCAATTTAAATGTTTTTAACATTTAACATAATTAATTAATTAGTTGTGTGAAACAAAAATCAGACAATCCAAAAGTGCATCACGATGTTACAAAATTTTTAATATATCAATGCTATTGTTATTTTTTTAAATAATGAAACAATTATTATTGTTAACTTGATAGGTGGGTTTGGTTTATTGCAAATTTACTTTTGAAAATTTTAAAAAAATAGTAACTATGAGGAAATAAATAATTGATTTCTGTATCATGTCGTAACTATTGGATTTGGCAGCATCTGATTTATAAAAAAAAAATTTAAGAGTTAATTAATGTAATTCAAAACAAAACAAAAATTAATTCCATAAATGGAATAGATTTTAAGTAAAATAAGATATTAAAAAATAAATTTTGTTTTACAATATCTAATATTTTTATTTTTTTCGTAAAGGCAAGAAAGCTGCTGAGGCTCATAAAGCGATATGTGAAGTTTAATATATAGATTGTGTAACAGAATACACAAGTTAGAATTGGTTTAAAATAATCCATTTTTGAGATCCATTTTGGAGATGTTTCACTCAAAGACCGAAGACTGAAGCTTATGATAACCAAATCAAAGTCACAATTAAATCTGATCATCATATAACTGTGCAATAAATTGCAGAGAGGTTAAATGTGTATGTAACACAACAACTCATCGAAACAGGTTTATGAGCGCGTAAACATAAAGTTGTTGAAGAAAAATTACAAAAGGTCATCAAACAAAATGGAAAATATAGAATTGATTAAAATTAAAATATGAGTTTTATTTCACACTAAGGAACCAAGTACTTTCTTGCCCATTATTAAATGTTTACCCTTTGATGGACGGTAGTACACGAAAAGTACCACCTTTTGAACATGCATAGTGGGGCATTCTTATAATTTTCCACAAAATCTACGGGAAAGAGGATGATGGAACTAATTTTGATAGTCCATAACATCCGATTTTGATTCAGTTAACGAAGTTGTCTGTTTCAATTGTCTAGAAATTTAGGAATTTCTGACCCCTCAAAGAGTTTAACATCATTATAATATCATTTAAAGTTCATACCAAAATTATTTTATACATAACACAATACAGTGGAATTTCGCCTAACTAGCACCTCGCATAACGAGCATTTTGCTTAACGAGCAAAATGAATTATAAGAATAATGTCTCGCATAACGAGTGAGCATGAGAAGAGAAGTCCTGGATTACGCGCATACTACATCATTTTTAAAACTTGTGTACATATATTATGTGTATTCTTGAATATATTAACCATCTTCAATTTTCTTTGTGGTCTTTGTTTAAAGAGGACTATACTTTTTTATATAAACAAATATTGAAAGTATAAAGAGACCTCCACCAAGACTCCAAGTAATATAAACAAAAATAAACTCAGTTCACCGTGTATGAATTGGAAAACAGTTCCTAGTGTTTGTTGTCATTCTAGTTGCATCTTAGTGTTGTTTGTGATCACAAAATTTCAAAACTTGTGTTCAGACATGTTATTTGTGTTTGTTTTTGTACAAAATTTAATAATACTGGCATATCTACGAATAAAAAGCTAAAGAATAAAAATAACCATAGAT